TAAGGACTGAGAGTTTAGTTTTTCCCACAATTGTAAGGCCTAATGCTACCATTTAATATTACTTATTCTTGCCCAGAAAAAGTGGTTCTCAACCTGGCTGGAAGGGAGTTAAGTTTCGACCCAACAGAATTTGTAACCGTCTAATGTGCCGTTGTGATCTTACATTGCGGATATGGTTTTTAGGTAAATCAAGCCATTCTAAAATCACATTTATAGAAGGCTTACTTATGAGGCAAACATGTATTTATAATTACAATTGCATACGTTACGTATATGCTGTACCTTTTTTAAAATAACTAGGGGAGGTTGAACCTCAAGTTCATCTTGGATAATAATATCCTCCGGGTGGCTAGACAAAGGGGAATGTAATAGCATATTAAGGCTATGCTATAGTAATGTAGGAAAAACTCAACCGTCAATCCTTAAATCGTTTCAAGCGACCTATACCGATTGATTGCTTGTGACTTGACTTTCCATTTTGAAAGAAAGAATTGATGAACGGGTCTTATCTAATACCGAAGGAGGATTGCCTTCAAGTGGAGTAAGACTGTTGAATTGTACGGAGAAGTCATCGGTTCACCATCCTGCAACTCCTATGAATCTGTGCTAAGGCCTTGTCGGTGGCTTGACAGACATTATCAGAACAAGAAATCTTACTTTACGAAATAGCGGACCATTAAAGTATATTGACATATATTGGCACATGGCAGGCGAAAGCTTAGCTCAGGCTCATCAGTCGTAGGACAGTTGGCCGAAGACTTATTTGCATAAAATTAACTGACTTACTCCACTCCAAAGCAATGCTCATAGGTTTCAGGTGCGACCAAATCACGAATTTCTTCCAACTACATTAATGAACTTTTATTATAGTGGATACTTAATTTGGTCTAAGTTTCTGGCCAGTTTGGCTGCATCCACTTGGAGGATTTGGAGAATTAACTCGGAGCTTCGTGCTGCGCTAGTATAAATTGCATCACTGATTCGAATTATGATTATCTTCATTCTTTTTTTCTACCATTACTATCTTATGTACATATGCATGCTAATATACTTGCTTACGCATGAAACTAAACTACGCAAACATACGCAAAGCTAATTAGGCGACACGATTAAATGCACATGTAAACAAAGCAATTCGAACAAACTCATGCACAAGAGCAAACAATGCCAACAAACACCAACACATCACTTCACAAAAGCGCTAACTTGGCTTGTAACACTCATGTTAACACGCATAAATAACGCCAAACATTCGCGTATTCATGTAGTGGAGTGAACACAAGACAGACGGCTTCTCGTTCATGACGAACCCTCTCAGAGGGCCCCAGCTGACCGGCTGGTGGGGCCATCGCGACGAAACCCGATTCGCCATGACCGGCACCATGCAGTTGGCTACAGGAGCGGCTGGTTATCGCATCTCGAACCCACCACTCCTGCTGGCTGCCAGTTTGCGGGGTCAACTGGACCTTCTGGCAGGAGTGCCAGGTGGTATGGAGGCGCTTCGTGCCAAGTCTGTCCTCCTGACCGGCTACTTGATCCATCTGATCACATGTAGCCGGTGGTCCCTACCTCCCAATTGCCTTCAGGTGGTCACTCCACGCAGGGCTGCGGATCGTGGCGCCCAAGTTACTCTGCGATTTGTGAATAGGAGTCTGATGCCCACTTGTTTTATGCGCCTGAAACGACGTGGTTTCATTTGCGACTACCGAGTGCCAGACAACATCCGAGTCAGCCCAGCCCCGCTTTATAACACATTTAGGGATGTCTACCATTTCGCGGTCAATCTCTATGACATTCTCTCTGATCTAACAGCCACGACATAATCCATGTCGGGGCAATGTTGGTATAAGTGTTGCTAAAAGGGCCTCCCCTCAAAAAAACAACCTGCTCCCGGCTGCAAAGTTTCTTTTCACACCCATGCATCTAAATGCACAACTAGAATGATCATGGACCACTTGCTGTTTCCGTTGGTAGATTTTTCCCAAACTCAACCTTACATTGTTTATTAAGCCCTCTTGCCAAAATTGCTATCCTTCTTTAACAATGACTGTCAGGAATGTCAACCGTAGCTTGACATCAAACAGATTAATAAAAAAACCGTTTTGCTTAAACTTGACAGCTCTAAGCTATTCTTTTTATGCACCCAAAATAACTAAGCCGTACAAAGTTAAGCCCAAACTCATCATTGCATAAGATGGCAAACATGTGGTCGATTGCGACGAGTAAATGATGCTAGAACAAATCGCACTCGTCATAGAGTCCAAATAATGCTTAGAGCAAGTTTGCTCCCTCATTACTTCCCAAATAAATATTCTTCATGATAGTCGATTTGGTATCAAATGTTCAGGTAACTATTACAGCTTAAAACTCAACTCCTTGAATTTCTACATCGAGGTTTTTTGAGTCTCCAATACAAAGCAAATCTTTACCACCTTCTCATAGAATATAACGTTAAGTTGGACTGCTCATAATTTTATGAAGTTGCAGCATCTGCCATCTGAGATCGCATGTAAAAATGCTTTGCCTCTTTAAGTGTTATCTTGTTTGATCGAGAGATTTACTTTTGATAAACTGATAAAAAAGTTGCTGCGTTTACTCAGTTCTCTTGCCGATATGTTTCGAGTCTTACATGATATGGAAAAGAAACTAATATATTATTAGAACTCAGCTGCATCTGTCATCAAATATGATCATTACCCTTACTTTTTGTCACCTGTCTGACTATTGTATGCGTATATTTCACCTCTTGACCTATTTCGAGGATTCTTCGAGTCTATGCTGGTCTCCGAACCCCCCTTGCTATTATCTACTGCCTTTGCGAGGATGGGTCAGGGCTGGAGCCAACCAACAGGCCAAAAAGTGACCCCAATATGAGTACATATGTAAATCGGCCAAAGATATGAAAATAGGATTAGCACCAAATAACACATTTTAGGTCAAAAATAATGTGTTCAAATGCAGTGATAATAGCCCCGCTCACGACCTACAAACCTGTCAGTAGGTGTCAATTTCATTTTTTTAAGACAACCCCTCCGGCTTCAACTCTATTAAATAAATGTAGCATCGTGTCACTAGCATAAATCTACGTCGTCTTCTGAGAAGATCTCAATGTTATCTAGGTGGCTTGGACAAGCCCGTATATAAGGTTTATTTCCATATTAATTAGCTATAACGGACATTATGCATTTTACCGTTATTCTCCAGCCGTAACTATTTTAGTCCAATGGCCTCAAACTGCCACTATCAAGGCAACCTTAGCCAGCAATCTAATGGGTACAATTTTAGACAAATGTCAATCATTCTTAATCCAAGCCACGTGATTTTTTAGGAACATTCGAAGTGAATAACACTTTATAGACTATTTAAACCTCACCTCCCCCTGACACATGGCTCACCTCGGAGTTAGTGCTCTTGTAAAGGTGTCACTCGCTTCAGATTTTTCCCTCGTCCAAAGGCATAAAAGGCTGCTTAGCTGGCTTCAACAGTGAGCGGACTCATCATGCTAATGAATGGTTATGCACAGAATGCAGCCTCGTGTTTTCCATTGGATTTGCCAAAATTTGAATAAGAACTTATTGATAGTTTCGAAGCATGCTTACATCGAAAGTGCTAAACTTTGCTCAAGGTGTCATTCATAAATTCACGCTTAAGTTGAAGTGGTTCAGTTGACTAGAACCATAGTTAGATCCCAATTTATTAGCCACTATGAACTGAGATAAAATATAGTAACTAGGGCAGCAAGGATTTTTTAAATTATATAAATATGAGTAAAATTGGACTCTAGTGCTGGGCTGTATCAGCCAAAATAAAGTAAGGAAGATCAGGCTCTAGTAACCCATCCGCACTCTTTCTCACTACAACTGTTCGTTTCGAAGATATCTCAGAGACCACTTGTAAACATCTGTACTCATTTCGCGCCGATCACCCAAATCACGTCACTGCAGCTATCCTACCTTCGGACCGACCAGATTAGGACCCTTTAGACAAATCCCAAGGCGACATTAAAATCAATCAAATGTTTAAGTAGGAATAAATCCAGACTCACCAACTCATCCAAAGGCTTGCCGTCCTTGAGGTCACCGGTTCTCGCCCCCGCACGCCGCCGTTGTACGCCACATTCACATGCAGCCACTGTTCACTATGCTTTCTCTTACACCGGCAGATTGTCCCATGTTCAGCCTGTACCGTCAACCGAGCCAGCCGATATCCTCCTAGAGGTCAAACAAGTGCCTCAGAATGTACGCCATGGACCGAATTTGACTTGAAATGATCCAATTCCAAATTTACAAGTCATACTCATGGAAATTTTTTTTAATGTTAAGGATGACGTTTTGAGGTTGTAAGGGGCGTGGAGTGTCGTAATTGCCCTATTTTGAAACGGCCGAATACAACATGGGGAAGCTGACAATAGAAAGACAATCATTGAAAGATGGTACCAAATATAACATTCTGAACCCCGCGGGCTACGGTGAAGAGGATAAGGAGAAGGAAAAGAACGTGACCCATTTAAACATAATATTAGAT